TACGTACACTCCACTATGCAACCTTAATTCTGGACTCTTGTGATAACACAATACCCTATATCATATATTGCTTTTAAACTATTCTCTCCCTCATCTATTTCAATGCAGTATATACATAATTTATGCAGTTTTTCTCAGTCTTACCCCAACCCTGATGTCAGTCCCATTCTACAACAGTGGCACTACGCAGTATTTGTATTTTTGTGACTGAGATATTTCACTCAGCATAATGTCCTCCAGGGTCACCCACTTTGAATAATATTGCATGAGTTCCTTGTTTTCCAATGCAGCATAGTATTCCATTGTGTGAATACACCACAGCTACTCTATCCATTCATTTGTTGATGGGCACTTAGGTTGTTTCCTACTCCATGCTATTGTGAACAAAGCCACGATAAACATGGGTGTGCATATATCTGATTGGATGTCGGTTATGGTCTCTTTAGGGTACATTTCCAGTAGTGGAATTGCTGGGTCAAATGGTATCGCTATTTCCAACTTTTTTTTTTTTTTTTTACACAAAGGTTTTGGATTTCCATTCATTCATTGCCACGATTTTCTCCCTTTCCACCCCTCCCCACCAGCCTGCTTCCCCCTCCGAAGAGAGAAAAAAAAAGAAAAAAAATTCCTTCATTAGTATACTATTTCCAACTTTTTGAGAAAGCTCTATACTGCCTTCCACAGTGGTTGCACAATTTTACACTTCCACCAACAGTGAATAATGGTTCCAGTTTTTCCACAACCTTGTCAGTATTTGCGACAGATTTTTTTTTAAAAAAAGAAATCAGCTTAACTTAAGAATCTTTAAAGATTCTTCTTAAAAGAATCTTTAAGTATACTTAAAGATTCTTAAATTACAAAATAAATTAAGATACTTTACTGGAAAATAAATTTGCTTTATAAGCCTCATGCAAATCACAATTAAATAAAAAAATGTAGTTTAAAAAATTGTCTTGAGAAGAACAGCATAAGTACATATTTCATTTTAAAATGACACTAAGTTTTTCTTTGATGTGCACTATTTCAATAACCTTACTGTTTCTTTCTGGATTATGCCAATTTTCAATTATTCAACACTACTACTTTCAATTGCCATGGAGCTCTGCTTGCTTAGTTTAAGTGCCAACCCAAAGGCACTGGTGTGAATCCACTAGTTAGGTGTTCAGCTTGAGAAAGATGAGCAATCTCTTCCAGTATGATTTCCTGCCCCTGTAAACCCGCTGGAGGGTCACCTGTGAGTTAATTCCAACTCAGGAATTTGTCAACTTGCCATCAAGTTGATCCCAAAAAGCTGTTAAGTCGATTTTTTACTCACAGAGAGATTCAATGTGATAGAAAACTGCCCCAAGGGTTTTCTACCTGCTCACTGCTTTGTTCTGAGGACTGTCTCCTGGTCTAAGTATAGGTTTCACCTAAGCACAATCAAGTGTTCTGGGATTCCCATTCTTCTCAGCCAGTGTGTAGACAATCTACTTCCATAAGAATGTACAGCCTTAGAAACCAGAATGTTTCCCTGTCCTATAAGGTAAGTTGGAAAAAACTCTGTGACAGTGTGTTTTTAATCTTTTTTGGGGGTGTGTGTGGGTGTGTGTTTAATCTTTATGAAGGAGATCTAGTAAGCAATTGGTTGGTAACAAGAACTTACATGCTGTTCCACAGAAAAGTAGTGTCTGGCTGTTGCCATAAAAATTTAGACTTGGAAACATGATGGACAATCTACTGTCATTATGAGTTGGACTCAGTGGTAACAGGTTTGAAATCTTTCTGGGAGACAATCACCAGGTCTTTTCTCCTGAGACGTTTGTGCTAACATTCCAGTTAGCAGTCAGCTGAATAACCTAGTTCAGATATTTCTAAGGAACAGAACAAAGGCTCAAAGCTTATGGTTGTCTTTTCTCTACTTCTAAAGCTGGTTACTTGTACATAACCTCTGGCACTGTAAAATCTGTTTATAAATACTGATTTACTCCATTAACCTGACCACTCACTGATCAACTAACTGATCTAGGGTGCCACACCCGCCTTGCTGTCCTCTCTGGCCACGACGCCCGTGTGACAAAATGGGACGTCCGCGCCTGTACGGGGTCTCTGACCTCAAGGATAGCATAAGAGGGAATCTTGCAAGCCCTGTGCTTGTGAGTGGGCTGATGCCTGGATATTTGTTACAGATGGGTCTTCGTAATCCCGGGAAACCTCTGGAAATTAAGTTGCTTCTAGGAATTGCTTTTCTATTTTAAGCTATGTGCTGTTTCTGATAAGAATGGGAGTTTCTGGGGAAAAACCAGGGGAACTTCACCAGAACTGGGATAAAGATTTAACTAAAGTCCTTAATCAGGAACCACTTGATGTTCCTGGAAATGATAATAAACAAGATGAAAATATAAAAGAAATTGAGATTGTTCTTAAAAGTATAATTTTGAATATGATTTTTGAGTATGTATCTAATTCCTCTTTTGTGATACTTGCAACTCATATTCAGCAATGTAATTGTATATTAGGAGAAAGTTTAGACTAGTTTCAACAGCAGAAAGTCATAGTTAATGAGAATAAAACAGAGAGGTTTAAGAAAAGACTCAAAAGACAAACTTCTCTAAAAGTAAAGGTCTCTTCAAGAAATAGGAAATATTACCAGATAAATAACAGGTGGTGGGAAGAAAGTACTTATAAAGGACCATATGTCCTGCCAACTCCAACACCAGTACCTCTTCCTTATACAGACGTTTTGTATTCCAAGGAAAAAGAATTGAATATTACAAGTTAACTTGGTAAAAACAAGTTAAAGGAAGTCGTCCGCCTTAGTGCACATTGCCAAACAAAAACAAATTAAAATCTTATGAAACAAGTTGCAAAAGCTATTGATAAACATAGGAATGGTCCAGAGTGTAGGAAAATAGATGTTAAGATTCGTTAGGCTTGGACCTTATGTGGTACAGTACAAACATGAGTACAAAGGCAAAAACAAAGGTGGCTAAGATACAGTAACGCAAAGTAGGAGAGGAAAGGAAGTGAAATGTAAACCATTAACCATTGTCTAGCAGATGACCAACATAAGGTCACTGTGTTTCTTGTTTAAAGAATGTTTAATAGCTGATGCTATTATTTAGTAATAGAAAATACTTTTTGTTTTTTCTAGTTAAAATCTTATGTGAGCTTTGTAATCATAAAATGTTGGCTATAAGTCAAGTTTAAACAAGTTTAAATGTATAAAAAGCAAGCTTTTAGCATAATAAACCAGAGCTCTCTACATCATCCTGGTGTGCAGACTCTCATTTTCGCCGACTTCGTCCCTCACCTGCTCTTCACCAAGAAACCCCTCGAGTTTCTTGTCACGACCGTGGTCGGGTGGTCGGTGACACTAGGGCATCTCTGTATTTCATTGCAACACTACTCTTCATAAAGCCCCAGGATCTCTACCAAGGATAACTGAAAAATCTTCTAAGTAGCTTTCCTATTTTTGTACCATGTCACCTCCTCATCAAATATTGTACTAATAGAGAAAAATGCTCTCTCATCTACAATAAAATTAAAATCATTATACCAAAAAACCCCAAGTGAATTCTAGTTAAAAAAAAAAAAAGACGTTTACTTTAACAAAGAAATTTATTATAAGCAAATTCAATCCCTGGCAAAATGTTTTGTTTCAATTCCACCAAGATTATATTTCTCAGGCAGGATTACAATTTACTTTATTTACTAATACAAACATTATGTTGATGTCATAGAATTTAAGACCTTTTATGGAAGAACAAATTTAATTTTTATTGAAAACGCTGAAGATTATATTTTAGAAAGTCTACATAGTGCACATTAATTTTATCATCTAAGAATCCAATTTGAATGTCACTCATTCAAGACCTTGGTCAAGTTATTGAAATTCTCTGAGCAGTGGTTGTGTAGGGAGATAAAGTCAACACACACTCATAGAGTGAATATGGAACAAAATTCAGAACTTGCCTTACTTTACTTGGGAAACAATAACTTTTTTAATTAAATACTGGATTCCTACTACTTAGGAAAATGATCAAATTCTTCCCTTGTTGATTTATTACATCCTTCAATTTTCTTCCACTGGAAATGATAAATCACCTCTAATGAACTTTGGAATATACACTTGCTACTTCAACCCTTTGTTCTACAATGCAAATAATCTAACAATAACCATGCACCCCAAGAAAAACAAATGCATAAAGAGTCTAGAAAATTGAGGTACACAAAGCACTATATCACAGCTTTCATTTTCAGTCCGTGTGCTTCTAAGAAGTGCAAAGGAGAAACTGAAAGAGGCGGGCTTCAAAAGACACCACTGTCAAATGGCGTCTCTGATTCTGACCAGAGACCATGAGTATTTCCGATAAAAGGACAGACCAAAACTACGAACTTCATATGTCCCAGAATAAGACATCTCTGGTTGGGTCATGAAAAACTTCCGAGTTCCAAGTCTCTACTCAGGATAGTTATTTTAAAACCTACCATCAACTCTGATTTTCAGAAGAAAGCGAGTCTCTGGCTGAAATCTTACCCTTCTGTCGCCCCAAGTAAATCTCAAATTTCCACGACGCAAGCTTTCCCACGGCCTCCTAGGACTTCTGCTTCTAGAGCTTGGCCCAGTAAATGACTTTGCAAAGCTGAATTTCTACCCCCTTCTATACTGCTCACTCGGAAACACCCAGACAAAGCCCAGGACGAAAGACACAGGACTGCTGGAGCTCCGGTAACATGGGCTATAGGGAGTACCACGGGGCCCCTTTCATACCTGAATGTTGTCAGCGAAAAGCTGTACCCACGTTCCGCCATTTTCACTCGGAGACCAAAGCACAATGGTATACATGCGCACTGCGTCCTGGGTCGTATCCCTTTCCCTCCCCGCTCCTCTTCCTTCTCTCTCTATGATTGGAGGAGAATCACAAGGCATTCTGGGTGTTATAGTTCTCGGAGCCAGTAGGCTGCTGCTCCACAATTTTGCGCATGCTCATCGTAGGGCCCGCCACCCGCAACCCGGAGGCCGTGGTCTTCCAGCTGGAAAGATGGTGTCGGCCGCAATATTGCAGGTTGTTGTACGTTGTCCGTCATCATTGGGAGTACTCCGAAACTGCTGGGAGCAGTTGCAGCATAAACTTCGGCAGAGCCTCCCAGGACTTACCAGTCCTCCTTGGGGTAGGTTAATAAGGTTACGATGGGAAATTGGTTTAATTGAATGAGGAACCTGAGGCTGACTGTTGATTCTCTGTCCTTGGCTGTTATTCTAAGACGCGACCTCGCGTGGGGAACATTGTTGGGACCTTTAGAAACAGCAGACGCTTCTCTCAGCCATTCCCCCAGAAAAACAAAACAAAACTTAGATTGCCTTGTTTATGCACAGAATATAATCTGAGCGCCTTAGCTTGACATCAAGGCCCACTAATGTCCTCCGTTCCTGCAAACACCCGCATGTGCGCGCGGGATCAGTTCTCGGCGTGTACTGGAAATGAAATTATGGGCCTGCTGTGTCTACCCGGATGTCATTTTAATTAGAAGTCTCAAAACGTTGAAAAATTTTCAAAGCCTTGACGTTTACGTTCTACCCTGTCTGTAAAAGAAGCTAGGTTTTCTACCAGAATTTCACTTGGCAGTCTTAAGTTTTTAAAAGCAGTTTGCAGTGTATTGTTGCTCATAGTGTGACCGCAAGTGTGCTGATTAGAATTGCTCAGTAGAGGTTCGAAGACTGTGATATTTTTTAGAACCAATCGCCAGACTTGCTTGATGAAGGTAACACGGGTTCAAACCACTAACCTGTTCTGTTCCTCATCTAGTCCAAGGCTTAGCCATTTGCGCTACTCTGGAATTTTGATGGGCTAAGTAAACCTTTTTTCTCCGATGTTCTCTCATCAGGCACACGAGGTATTTCCACTTGACAATGGAATTAAATCTAGAGAAGTACCAAGATTACACTGAGAAAATGACAGGACCTCAAATCAAACCCAGATTGTTCTGAGTTCCTGTATTTAGCAATAGTTGTAGATATGCTGAGAACTTTGTTAAACATTCGAGAACTTTGCATATATTTAAAAGTCTGTATATCAAAATTGGAGGCAAAAAATGAGCAGTTATCCCCTTTGCCTCTGAAAATGCACTGCAGGGCAGCTATGAGTTGGTTTCACCTGTACAGTTCATAACTATCAAAATGAGAAATAGTTCTTATTTTTTGTTCAAGGAACAGATAAAGGAATCTTTGGTTTAATAAGTAAATAAAAACAAGTGAAATGCTGATTGTCAAATTTAATGAATGCTAAAGATATGGTGAGGTTAGCTCTTTTTCTTAGAGAACACGCATGAATCAAAAGTCAAGTATCAATACCTATATGTGACAAAAGTCTTCTGGGCTATGTGACAAAGAAGCTTGACCCAGTTTGACTAAAACAACAAATGAAGAGAACATAGTGTGGGTTGTAAATGAATTTTGGAAATCTCAGTTTTGCAGGCATCCTTTATGAAGTAATTAGATACTTCTCTCCAAGTAGATCTGCTTAACCTAGCTATAACCCTGACATCCACCATCCTGATTTTAAACTATACAGTCTTCCCTTGCTCTGTCCAGACAACAGCATTTTGGTCTAGGAATAGATTTCATATGAGCACAATTAAGTAGTCTGGAATTCCCATTCTTCTCAGTGTTGTGATCCACACCGTCAGATGCCTTAGCATAGTCAATAAAACAGACTTTTTTAATGATATTCTCTGCTTTCAGACAGGATCCATCTGACATCAGTAATGGTGTCCTTGCTGTAAGGATATCACTCTAGAAAGAAGAATGTAACATCAGGATCAGAGGAAGACTTAATAACCTGCATTCTGTAGATAATACAACTTTGCTTGCTTGTAAGTCAGAAGAACTTGAAACGCTTTCTGCAGAAGATCAAAGACTATCTCACTATCCAGAAAACAAATGTCCTAATCACTGGACCAAGAGACACATAATAGATGGAGAAAGGATTGAAATTGTCAATTATTTCATCTTGGATCCATAATCAACAACATTAGTACCATCAGTCAGGATGATGAGATGAGGGGATGTATTGTATTGGACAAGTCCCCTCTCAGGGACTACTCCAAAATACTGAGGATCATTGAAGTCATCTTGAAAACCAAGGTGTGCCTGATTCATGACATGGTCTTTTCAATTAGTTACTGTACATCTGAGAGCTGGACAGTGAATAAGCATGACAGAAGAAGAATTGATGCCTCTGAGTTACAGTGTTGAAGAAGTGTGCTGAAGATCCCAAGGACTATCAAAAGAACAAATAGATATGTCTTGGAAAAAGGGCAACTAGAGTGTTGCTTGGAAGCAAAGATGATGAAACTTCATCTCTCATGCTTTTGGCATGTTAGGAGAGGGTGTTCCTTGGAGAAGGGCATCATGATTAGAAAGTTGGAGGGTCATCAAAAGAGAGGAAGACCCTAAAATGGATAGGCACAGTGACTGAAGCAATGGGATCAAGAGTGTCAGGAAGAGGATGGCACAAAATAAGACAAGTTTCAGGTCTGTTGTTCATAGGGTTGCTTTGAGTCTTAACTACTCAACAGCACCTAATAACAACCTTCTGGTAGCCTAGAGGGTGAGGAGTTATGCCGCCAGCCCAAAGGCAGGAGGTTCAAATCCACTAGCTGTTTTGTGGGTCAAAGATGTATAGTCTCCTCAAGTGCAGTTCAGAGCTTCAGAAAATATGCTGGAGGATCTGCTGGTATTTGGTTCCAACTCAAGGACACAGAACAATAATATAAACAGCAGAAACTGAAGAAGATCAAAGACTATAACCTTCAGTATGGATTACATAGCAACATCAAGGAAAAAAAAATATTCTCACCCCTGGATCAGTAGGCAACATGATAGGAAAAACAGTGATGCTGTCAAGGATTTCATTTTACTTGGATCCATAATCAACACTTAAAACAGCAGCAGTCAAGAAATAAAAGGAGGGATTACGTTGGGCAAAGCTAATGTCAAGGACCCGCTTAAAGAACAAATACATCAGTGTAAAGACTTAAGATAGTCCTGGTCCAAGCCATGGAAGACACAAAAAGAACTGATGTCTTTGAATTGTGCTGTTGGCAGAGTATTGAAAATACTGTGGACTGCAAAAGAGCAAACAAATCTATCTTAGAGGAAGTGCAAGTAGAATGCTTTTTAGAGACAAAGGTGGGGAGACTTGATCCCACATACACTATGTACTTTAAGCATGTTGTCAGGAAAGATTAGTCCTTGGAAAAAGACTTAGTGCTTGGAAAAATAGAGGATCAGCAGAAGAGGAAGACCATCACCAAGATAGATTGACGCAGTGTGAGTAGGACCGGATGCCATTATTGGAAGCCCAGCTTGCACGCGAGTGGGCTTCAGGGTTATTGAGAGTTCAGCCTGCAAACAGGTCACTTTCGAGTTTAATAATTAAAGAGAAACCTTTGTCCTCTGTCCCACAAATGGGCTGGGAACTTGGAGGTCTCTCTTCCTGTAAATCGTATATCTTAAGTCATTTCGGTCTCCTAATCCCTTTCATGTGAAAAGCATCATTTGTTATAAGGAACAGAGTGTATGCCCTCCCTTGCTCTATTGTTTATTTATCTGTTATGATTCTATGAAAACTGAGATATGAGATCATTGTTTATTATGACTCTATGGAAACCCTAAAAAATGAGATCATTGCTTATACCCCTATGTATTCTAATAAACGCAGACCCACAAGGCCACCCCTGCCGTATCGTGTCCTGTTTCTGTGAGTGTGTTTTTCTTTGTGGCAGTCCTGTCTTGTCTTCTGTGTGCGTTTGTCTCTTTTGTTCATTTCTCCCAGGAAAAAGGGTTGCGGTTTGCAACACAGTGACTAACAGGATAGGACATGTTCTGATCTGTTCTCTGAGTCAAAGTTGACTTGAGGTAAACCTAATGACAACACCACCTAGTGGAAAGGTGGTACTGGGGTTAAGACAGTTGGCTGCAGAACTAAAGGTCAGTAGTACCATCCTGTTGACTGCTGCTCCAGAATAAGAGGAGGCAGTGTGTTCTATAAAGATTTACAACCTTGGAAGTTCAGCAGAGCAGTTGACTCAATTGGCAGTACATTTTGAGTCAGTATGTAGATTTGGAAATTTGGGTGGAATTTTCTTTTAGTTTGTTGCCTCTTGAACTAATACTTGTATTTGCGACTGAAATATTGAGTTCGCTGGTAGCTTAGTGGTAAGCTGTCGCTGGTAGCTTAGTGGTAAGCTGTTGTGCTACCAACATAAAGATAATTGGTTTGAATCCACCAACTACTACACAGACTACAAATGGGCAGTCTCTTCCCCATGTGATTTACAGACTGAAAACCCACTAGAGTGTTAGCTGCAAGTTGATGGCATATAGCAACATATTTCATGAAGTGAGAAAGTCATGCTAGAATATGTTACCTCATTTCAGCAGTTTCTTTTAAGGGGGAAAAAAAATCTACTTTAAAATTGCCTTGAATGTTAGTGTACTTTATGGGTTTTTCGGTTTTAATTTTTTTTTTTTAAATTTGAGTGAATATAAATCATACTGGTTTTTCCTATAGTCACTCATAGAACATTAGTTATTGTTGATGTAACGTTGTTGTTATTGTTATGTGCCGTCGAGTCGCTTGCAACTCAATGTGACCCTATGTACAGTGGCCCTAAACTCTGCTCTGTCCTGTACAATCGCACTGTCTCTGATACACCCATCCCGATTACCCTAGTCACTGAATCAGTTCACCTCATAGAGGGCCTTCCTCTTTGACACTGTCCCTCCACCCTACCAAATATGATCTCCTTCTCCAAGGAACGATCCCTCCGTAAAACATGTCCAAAGCAT